GGTCACATTCTGAGAAACTGGGGTTAGAATGTCAATCTATCTTTCTGGGGGGAGTGGGAGAACACAAATCAACCTATAACAGTAACATTTTTGAAGAAAATGAGGTTTGCAATAAGGTATCTGTCACCAAATACACAACTAACTGTGTTTATGCTATAAAAGGAAAAAAAGAAAGTGTTTCCTTCTTCAGCCCTTGACGTCTGAGCTCTGTGGCACTTGGACACAAAGGAAGATCATAACAATCTTGAACCCTTGGCTCTCAGTCCCATGTGGTTTGAGATTCTGACATCCAGCAGTTATTTAAATAATAGCTTTCAGTTTTGGTGAAAAAAACTATTCAGTGCTTGGAATATGATACTGTCAATTATTTAGAATATTTTATCCTGTGGAGAATTGCCTAGGACTAAAGTCGGGGGGTGAGGGGAGAATGGGATGTTGGAAAAGGTTTTTTAAAACACTGGGACACAAGGATGTAATGCCATAATCACAGGACAGGGTTGGCTGATGAAATTCCTTGAATTTCCACAGCTCAGAGAAGAAAAAGATAAGTTGGGTTGGCAACCAAAAGAGCTGATTATCACTTGGGGAGAAAGAAGGAGGGGAGCGGGGCTGTGCACACTTGCTGGACCAACTTTTGGCTGTCTCGCTGAGACGACCAGCCTCCAGCTCAGATGACTCCCTCCCAGCAATTTTCAGAACTTTTTCCTTTGCTTCTTCCCTGACCAGTCCCCTCTGGGGTGGCTTTGGGCACCTGCCTATGGCTTCCAGTGATTCCATCCTATCTCATCAGCAGCCCATCCTCCTCCCCGTTAAATGCCCTTTTCTGGACCAACAGCCCACTGGAGGAGCCCACCTTCTCCATCCCATGTTCCTCTGTCCCTGATTTCCTTCTTCTATGGGGTCCACTGGAACTTCCTGCTGTTATAAGCAGAGTAACTAAGAGTTTAAGCTGGTCTCAGACACTCTCCATCTGACACAATTCATTGCAACCTGAATTCCCTTCATGTCACCTCCTTCCTGGCTAGTCTCCCTCTGCACACAGCTCTAGGTTTCAGAAGGTCTCAGAGAGAGGGCCCATGCTCTTTTTCTCCATGGCGTCTTCTAGATTACGTGTTTGCCAACACTTTGCCACTTCATATCATCTCTTCTCCAATGTCCTTCATTTTTTTCTATGGTTCCAAACATCACAGCTGGCAGGATACCGTCCTTCCCCGGTTGGCTGCCATATACACCAGACACGAGAGCCCACTTCCCTACTTGTACTAGCACAACCATTAGTCTACCAGTCTCTGGAGGTTAAAATTCTGCTGGTTATCTTTGATTCCTTCCTCTCCCCCATAGTAGCACCAACCTGGGAATTTCTGTGAGCTTCCTATGAGAAAAGGCATACAAATCCATTAGCACACAGGGCCTGACACAGAGTGGATGCTCCGCCGTGCAAGCTGTTATTTGTAAATATCTTAGTGCCCTCAGTGAATTACTAAGCAGTCAGTCCCCAGATCTCCCTCTTCACATCTTTCCAAACCATCCATCCCACATCCCTGCTTTCCATTCCCACTGCCCCTTACCTCCTATCTGGACCAAAGATAGAAACTCCAAGCCAGTCTCCTTGTCTCTCACCTCTTCTCCCACTTCCTAATCTATCTGGGATAGAAGATCCAGGTAGAGCCAATGAAAAACTAGCTTGGATGACGTCATTCGGTTGCTCAGAAAAAGTCGGTGCTCCCCCACTGGTAAGTTTCCTCCTTCCTGCCAGTCCCACACTGTGGTTTCAGCCTCATCTCCTATAACCACACTCCAGCCATACCGCATGGGGAATCTCTGCAAAGTCTCTTGCCTCTCCTCTGACCACTCTTTTGTGGATACCATTCTCTCAGTCTGGAAATTTCCCATTGTCCACAAATTGAAATCCTTCTCATCCTCCTAAGCCCCCTGCCTCTGTGAAACCACTTTTTGGGTTTCTGTCTTTTCCTTCTTTGAGCCCCCACTGTCCCGGCATTACCTCCAGCTCACAGACCTGTTTTCCCTGTAGGACCTCATCCTGAGCTTTGTAAGTAGAAGTGCTCAATAAATGTTTGTTTACTAATACTGAACCCCTTTCTCCCTTTAAGGGGAGAGACACCTCTCTGCTGTTTGGACCTCTACTTTCCAGCTGGGCAGAAATCAGGCATGGGATTACTTTGGTTCAAACTTCCATGGTCCAACCCCTCCAATATCCCAGCTAACCTCTTCTCAGTATATTTTCATGTGTACACTTCCTCATTCTGCCTTTTTGCCGTTCTAAGTTCAAACGACTCTAGCTTACCGACCACCAAAGCACTACCTGTCCCGGCCTTTGTCCTAATTTCCCCCCATTTCACAGCTGTCTTATACAGACTGGTGCTCATGGACTAAAACCTAAAGGGAATCACTCTTCTTTAAGGTCTGATCTGTATCTGGGAACCCGAGCCCTGCAGTTAGAAGTGTCATGAAATGCACCGATAAGTAACTAGAAGCAGAACGCTGTGTACACACCAATGACATTGCATTGCAGGATGCATTGTGGAAGTTCGAGTGAGAATTGTTTATTAAAATGCATGAGCTTACCGCGGCTTTACCGAGGAGATAACATACTTAACAGTCACTGGTGGAACCCTGCATGAGAGAACGGGTATTTTATGTGGATCTAAGTGGGTCTTTTGAAGTATTTTTTGATTCTTTTCATTAGGCAAGATGAAGCCATCTTTAAGGCCATGTCGCTGGCGTGAAAAGATTCACGTGATATGTCAGCAACTACGGAATAATGCATTTATTTTGTGTGAGCGCAGCAAAACACTTGGGGACACGGATTATTTGGCAGAAAGACTGAATTAACCCTTCCATTGCCATCCCACGCCACAGAACTGTCAATCTCGTCACACCGTTGCCTTTGCTTCTGATCCTTATGTTCTTCCGCCTGTTTGTGTGTTAGGGATACGTTAAGTAAAGACAGGAAGATCAAGGGGGAATGGGAATGCTTTCTCTATGTTCAATCCTGTGAGGTGGGTGTCCCCAGCCAGGCCTTATAGAGGGAGAACTAGAGGCGCATCTAACCTGAATCATGGGAACAAAGAACTTCTCGAATCCCAGGGGTGCGCCATCTCCCACTGTAACTGAATCGCATGCATGTCCTTATGCCATTTTTTTACTTCTCTGGTATAGACCACTTTGTACCTACCTGCTTATCAACCCCCCGGCCCCCTGCGCCCTCCCTCCACCAACAGGTCTTGGTAAAGAGAGGCCTGGCCCCTTCTGTTTTGTTGGATGCTGACAGAGGCTAGCCAGAGTTTCCTTCCCTGTTTGTTCACATGGTTTCCTCTCACTTCGAGAAGAAGGAAAAATCGGGCTGGACTGCCAGGACTTGGAGAGGGCAGCACGGCAAGACCGGATTGTCCACCACCGGAACCAGATGGCTGTTGCTTCCGATCCCAGTATTACCGCTGTTCACAGGCCCTGGCAAATTCTGTGGTCCTCTGTGCGTCAGGTTTCTTCCCTGTAAAATGGGGATGGCATCCCTCTCGTAGGGTGGCTTGGCACAGGGTAGGTACTTGAACAATGTTAGTTCCCCTTCCATCCCTCCATGCTATCTCCCCTCCCCCCAGTTCTATTCACACTAAGGAGAAATCCAGACATTGGAGCATGAGGAAGTATTCCTTATATCCCTCTACCGTTCCCCTTTTCTCGCACCCAAGCCAAACCTCAAGAACAGGTCCCCCCTCCACCTACCTCCTCACCCTCAGTCCTGCTGTCCCTGCCAGATCTCATGGCAAGCCCTGGAATCTCAAGGGAAACCAGTCTTGCGCCTCTCAGCTGGCTGGAGCCTCACGGGCTTACCCCTGTGGACCTAATTGGAGTTGCCATCCATTACCTCTCTGGGGAGCAGGAGGGCCAGAGGGGAGGCCACAGGTGTTTTTCCAGGGTCTTCTTTCTATTCCATTCCACCACATTGCCCTTACCCAGGCATGCTTACGGTGGTGACCCTGGCGCTCACTAATTCCCTGAGGAAACACCCAGGTCAAGGTTCCGGGCCCGTTACAGGCCACTGGAGGAGGCGAGGAGACTGACTAGGTGGTAGGCGGTCATACTCGGTTACAAGAGTTTTTAGCCCGGGGGCTCTTTCGAACTCAGTCTATCTCAGTGAGTGAGTCACTCAGGGAAAACTGTAAACACAGGTGTAATACGGGCCCGCGGAAGCCCTGGCTGTCGGTCCAGGGGAGGTGTTAGACCAGCTCTCCCCAGCCCCAACCATCCTTCTATGTCCAGAAAACTGAAGTTCCTGGGGGTGAAGCGACGTGCCTGACGCTCAGTCCCGGGATTGAGCGGGACCTGGAATCCGCGGTCGGGAGTCCCAGCCGGGCTCCCTCGCGTCCCCCCACCCGCCTCCTCCCCCGCCACAGTCACGGCCAACATCGGTGCCCACGCAGCTTTCGCGACCCGGAGGGCTCCCGACCTCGCTGTTCCACTCCCGACCCCTCGCTTTCTCGTTCCCCCGCCCAGCGGTCGGGCTTTACCGCCCCGGGGTCCAGCAGAGCCGGCCGGATGAAGGGATGCCGGACACCTCTGATACCTACACACGCATTGTGCTCAAAGGAAGGCGGCAAGCCCGGACCGCCGCCGCGGCGGAGGCGCGCACCGCCGCCTCTGGGGCGGGGGCAGGTGGGGGCTCGGCTCGCGGGTCGGAAGGCACCCAGCGCCGGGCCAGGGGCGGGGCCTCCCGGGCGGGCGGGTGGGCGCGGGAGGGAGGGAGGGAGGGGCGGGGCGGGGAGAGTTGGGAGCGCTCCGGGCCGGTAGAGCCGCAGCCCGGCCGCGGGGAGCGGGAGGCGCGCGGGCCTGCGGGGGGCTAGGGGCGCGCGGGGCGGCGGCGGGGACTGCGGAGGTGCGGCGGGAGCCCCGGCGCGCGGCGGAACCGGAGGCGGAGGGGGCGGAGCCGCGCTCGCAGCTGCCACCCGGCCTCCGGGCCCAGGCAGAGGACACCCGCCCGGGGCCGGGCACGCACCGCGCGCACTCACTCTCCAAACAATGCTCCGAGGCGCCCGGCTGGGCGGCTGGCGGCTGGGCGACCGGCGGCGAGGCCGGGGGAGCGCGGCCCCGAGGTGAGCCCGCGACGCTTTCTCCAAATCCCGTCTCTTTTTGTCTGGCGAACGCGGCCGCAGAGGGGAGCTCCGGGGCGGCGGGGAGCGCCTTGGTGCCCGAGAGGGCGACTCCCCTGTCGGCTTCCCCCGGGGTGACAGGCGGCCGCTGGCGGAGGGTGGAGCGTCCGGACCGCGTGCGCCCGGGGGTTGTGCTCGAGGTTGGAGGCGCTGAGCCGGGAGCACACGGGAGCCGGAGGGTATTTTCGATTCATTCGAGAATCGCGCTTTTTTAAAACGGGGAAACTTTCCTTCGAGTTCGGGGAGGGGAAGCCGCCTGTTCAGCCGGTCTTGTTGGGCTTGCTGTTCTGTCTGGGGCAAGAGACCGAAGCGCTTTGCGAGTTGCTAATGGGGAAGACTTCATTTCTGCGGCAGGAGTATTGTCAAAGGAGCGGAGAGGGAGAGGCCGCCGGGGCTGCTAGGACGGGGACCCCGGGGGCGAGATGGTTTGGGGCTCCAGGGTAGCTGCCTCATGCGCTGCCGCGGCTTAGATGTCAGCCTCCGAGCCCCCAGGGGGAACGAGATGATGCCTTTCTCCCGAGCGCTGGCTGAGCCCCCTGAAAGGCGTACTGTGGGCATGTTCCTAACCTTTGCTCCTGCTGCTTGTGTCCCCAGCTGGACGCGCGCGCGCGCACACACACACACACAGAGAGAGAGAGAGAGAGAGAGAGAGAAAACAGAACCTCTCCACCTCTCCGCTTTCAGGTCCTGTAAAAGGGAATGGAGGCAGGGCCGGCTAAACGTGTTTATTTTTCTCAGGTAGAGCTCAGCCGGCGAAGGCATGGCCCAAAGGTCTACCGGCCAGGAGTTTTGCAATGAGATCAGGGCAGAGCAGGTTCCACGGACCTTATTGATCACTGGCCCGTGCTATGGTGGCAGCCTTTTCCCTTTTTGAGAGGGAGATGTGACAGGAAGCCCTGGGGAATTCTGTAACTACTTTGTTATCAGGGGATCCTGTGGAATCCGGCTGTCCTCCTTGCTGGCGCAGGCTGTAGTGTAACCCATGAAAATCACATTCCTACCACTGAGATTAGATTACATAGCATTGGAGAAGGAAAAAATAAAATTAAAAGTTGGGCAAATATCATGACACCCTGTGTGTGTGTCCGGGGGGTGTTAGGGAGATGTGTTAAGGTTGTCATTTTGTTCTTTCTGCCTGGGCAACCCCTGCCAGTGGAGTATTGAAATCCAGACACCTTCCACATGTACTTTTCTTTTTCAGTGTTGCATTAATTTAATCTTCATATATAGAGAGATAGATATAGATATAGATATCTGAATATAGATACAGATATGATACATATATATTTATTTATTAGATGAATATTTTCTGGAATTCTGTCACTTCAGAGTAAGGCATTAACAGCCTTTGATGCAAGTGTGAGGGGCATTTTGATTTTGTGGATCTGGCCACCATTCTTCAGATTCTTTCGAAATGGGATGGGAGTGTGTCTGACAACTTCAGTCTTGCAAACTGTAGCCACAAATCCCGTGCAGAGGTTTGCAGAGGCAAAGCTATTTTATCATGACTTGGATCAGAAAGAATGCTGGGATCTTTTTCTAATCTTACACTGCTACCTCCCACTGAAATGGGGAATTTGCATAATTCTGGGGGCTGCCTCCCCTCTGAGGTAAGGAATGTGGGCAGGAAGGTGCCATTCCCAGGCTGTGGAGAGTCAGCGCTGGGAGGCCCAGCACTGCTGCCACTCTGAGAGCGCCACTTGAGTTTTTCACCATCTTTCGCTGAAAACAAATAGGTGATAATTCCAGGCAAAGAGCTCTCTAGACAGAACTGGAAAAGGATCTTTTCTGGCTTGACGTGATGGTAAATTCTGTTTGCTGTGACTGTGAAACCAGTTTTAACAGGAGGCAGTGAGTCTGTGATGGTGGAAGTCTATCGCTTCGTTCTGTTCTCGTAGTCAAAGACTTCCCCTAAAAATCTTTGCATCTCTGAGCAGTGGTGTGGAGAGCTGTGCCCAGGTCAGAGAATCTCAGAGCTGGGCATGGGAGCCCAGACAGTGTGCGTAAGCCGGGGAACGTTCTGAAGGAAGCTGCCTGTACCTCAGTCATCCAGAGCTGATCCAAAGTCCCAGGGCTGTTGTGGGCCATCGGGGACAGAGAATGAGGCACTCTGGCACCAAGCAGATGTGACAAGTTTGTGCTCTGGGTGGCCTGCCGGGGGAGGAAATGAGGGGCGGCCATCCCAGACTGCCTCTCTGTGAGTCTGTGGTAGCCTTGAGGAAGTGGTTGGACGTCCACCTCCACAGATAGCTCAGCCTTATAAGGAGCTGCAGGAATGTGAAAGGCTCCCACAAAACGGGCTTCGAAGGTGTTCTTTCCCCATCCCACCAACGGGGCTTGGGAGCCTTTGCCTGCAGTAAAGGGGAGCCTCTCCTTCCCTGTGGTCAGAAAGCCAACCGCTCTCCAGGAGAGGACCAACTCCCCGCCTTGGGGCACGGATATGAACACTTGCTCTCTGAATACCAGTGTGCTTCCTCTACTTCCCCCAAATTCAGCAGCAGAGCCGAAAGCTCTCTGTGGCTCAAGATTATGGGAGGAAAGAAAAACCCTTGCTCTCCTCCTCTGCTTGTTGAAGCTTAGTGACCTCTTCTGGGGAACTTGGTGAGGCGTGAACCTGCTACTCAGATATATTTAGGGGAGGAGAAGAATGCAACCCACAATCATCTTAAAGAGAGGGATGCCTAAGCCCCCACCAGCAGTTGCTGAAAGACAAACACTTGCCTTTATTTCGGAGCGTTCATTTAGCTTCACGAGTCAGTGGCTTCACGGTGATCCTTGGAGGGAAAGGAGGCAAATTTAGCTCTGGTCCTTGGTGATTAAACACCCCTGTCCGTGAGTGTGGAGCACTGGAAAGAGAGCATGCTCCCTGCAGATGCTGGAATGGGCTCCTGGCTCATTCCACCTGGTTAGTCCTGTTGATAATTTGTCCGGCATCAGCCCCAAAGCAAGTTCTCACTGGAGGAGAGTGGAGAGCAAACCCCAGGGCAGAACTCCCTTTTTGATGAGAATCTGATCACCCGCGGTTTGTAGAGATGATTTTCTCATGAATGTTTTCCTTCTGAGGAGGCCAGTTCATTTAAATGAGGGAAGAAGAGCGAGGAGCGGCAAACAGGCGATGGGCAGCCACCGTGTGTCACGAATGACGTGATGAAAGTTGAAGGGCTTCCAGCACAGTTGGCCTTTTGCCTTCTAGAACCACCAAACTCCCTGTGTCTTTTGGACAAGTCTTAGTTTATGTCACTGCCGTTGTTTCCCCATCTGTAAAATGGGGATAACAGCTCCCTGCCGGGCTGTTATTCAGGCTAATTGGCTAATATCTTCAACCCCTTTGAGCTCATCTTCAACAAGTGAATTTACTAGGTTCTCTGGGAGAGCCCGCTGCTCCCTGTTTCGCTGTCAGAGACAACTCTTGCAACAAGCCGGCTGCCTTACCCCTAGGGCTATCGTAGGGAAAAATAATTGTGTGATAAGCTCTTCCCTCTGTTATATTTTACCTGGCCACCCTTAGACCAGAGGGCTGTGGTAATTGGGCATTTCTCTTTCTGTTTCCCTCCTTGGCCTGCAGCCCCAGCTCTGCTGACCTCCGTGAGCACTGGGTTGAAGTAAGGGGAGGAGGGCCAATTCCCAAGATGCTGGACCTCCTGACACAGTTCCTCTGAGGGGCAGGCCGGCCCCACACCTCTCCCCTTTTTCATCCATACAGTGTCCGCGGGGCCAGAGGTATGGCTTCCAAAGCTAGGCTCAGGGCCCAGGCCTTCCTGCCCACTCACACAGTCCTTGGTGTGAAGTCGTGGCTTGTCCTCTGGAAGCTACCACGTTTATTTGCTGTACAGCTTTGTAGTTCTTGTCCCCAGCGCTAGACCCCTTCGGCCCTGGGGACTGAAATGCCCACTGGGCTCTGTACTCCCGTCCCAGAGCTGTGTTTGGTTTTTACAGCTTCTGATAAGGCCGCCCCACCGGAGAGTGACTAAGAGCCTTATGGCAAATAGGTGAGGGCCTCCGAAAACGCTGAATGCTAATCTTTGCCTTTTTTTTTCTCCTCCTTTCCTCCTTCCTCCCCCTTCTACTTCCCCTCGAAATAATCAGACTCCAGCTGGTAATGCAGCTGTCCTTGGGCTGGGCAGCCCTTTGATCGGCCCAGTGTTCTGCTACTCTTCCAGGAGGCCGCCCTGCGACCCACCTCTGTCCCCCAGAAGCCCAGCCGGAGAGCCGAGCGCAAGATGAACCAGCGCGCCGCGGGCTCAAGATGCACCAGACCGTCCGCCTGAGCGCCGAGAGCCCGAAGATGTCTGCGTGCAGTGACTTTGTGGAGCACATCTGGAAGCCCGGGTCCTGCAAGAACTGCTTCTGCCTGAGGAGTGACCACCAGCTGGCACCCGGCCAACCCCAGCCCAGAGCCGGCCACCTGCCCCCTCCGCCTCGCCTGCCCCCCAGGCCTGACACCTGCCGCCTGGAAGATGAAGCCGTGAACGGCTCGCCCTACTCCAAGCCCACCATCGCCGTGAAGCCCACCATGATGAGCGCCGACGCCTCTGATGTGTGGACAGAGGCAAACCTGAGCGCCGACGTCTCGCAGGTGAGGCTGACTAACGCCCGTGGTATTTTTACAGGGGCTGCCCTTGCTGTAATGGGATGGCTGGCCGGCAGCCAGGGAGGGCTGTTAGAGCATGACTCCTGCGGGGTGGCCTCCGGTCAGCCCACCCCATGACTGCTCCTTCCCAACTCCTGCCCTTCATTCCTAGCTGCGCTCCCTTCCGTCTGTCCCTTCAGGCTGAGAACCATCAGTCCGGTCCCGCAAGTGGCATTGGAGAGTGTCTTAATTATGTAACTGGTGGCACACAAAAATGCAGCTTTAAAAAGAAAAAGTTTTTGAACTTTTTTTATTGCGTTTACAATGCATACACGAGTAGCAGTGATGGCATAAGGAATGCCCCACGTCCACATCCATGAGTGTCCGCAGATGAACTCATGACCCCACCTTGCTTCCTCTATGTCCCCAGCCCCACCCTCTCCTCCCTGGGATTTTAAAGCACACCCCAGGCATTTCTGCCCATGTCTTTAAAAAATAAAGTCTTCCTAAAAAAGGGAACCACAAGGCTATGATCACACTTGACCTGTGAGTGGCCATCCCTTCATATCCACTTCCCAGCCGGTGTTCATGTTTCCCGTTGTGAAGCTTGGATTTCAGCAGTTTTGACCTGGGACTCCTAGAGACCGTTATATCCCCAGAGATTAGACTGGTCTGCTCATCCCACAGGTCCCCCTTACAGAAGTATAATTCTTTAGAGGGCATGTAGAGCCTGCTGCCTCTAGACAGGTCTAGGAAGCTGGAAGTCTAGGACTAAGAACCTCTGGGGACTTGTTTGACCTTTTTGCCTATTCTGCTGAGTGGATTAGGAAGGGTGTTTGAGCCGATGTGAAATCAGAGGTCAGTTTTAAATTGGAGGATGCTTAACTGAGGAGCGGCATTTCCTGTGGTTGCACTTAGTTCCATGTCCTTCCAGAACCACTCCATCAGTCGGAAGCTGGTTACACCCATTCACCAGGCTGCACTCAGGACCTTTGGTCTTCGCAGACATAAGCCGGGGACTCCTTCAGTTCAGAATCATCTTGGAAAGGAGGCAAATGGCGGCCCAACTTTGAGGCCGCTTCTTAAAGTTTTGGGGTACGGGGAGACTTTAGAAGGGGAGGGCAAGGGGACCGTGACTTCAGTAATGGGAATGACCATCTACTTCTTCTTCTTCTTCTTCTTTTTTTTTTTTTTTTTGAGAGAGAGAGAGAGAGTGTGTGTGTATGCGTGTATGAGTGGGGGGAGGGGCAGCCAAAGAGAGAGAATCTCAAGTAGATTCCATACTTAGTATGGAGCCCCACATGAGGCTTGACCTCATGACCCCAAGATCATGACCTGAGCTGAAATCAAGAGTTGGACACTTAACCAACTGGGCCACCCAGGTGTCCCATGACCAACCCGCATCTTTGTCTCAGAGCTCAACTAGTCCAGCCCCTTTTGCAAGCTCGGGCTGAGTCACACTGCCTGTAACTTGGAGGGGGAGTAGCTCTTCGGCAAGGTCCAGAGAGCGGTAAGGGAGCTGGGGACCCAGTTCAGAAACCAGCCCTCATTCTCCTGCCCTACCACCCTCCCCAAGCTATTTCAAAAAGCCCCATGACTTTGGTTTCTTCAGCATTGTACTGTGACACGGTTATCAAAAAACTAACAGACATAAAACAAAAATGCAACCAAACTCAAAACTCTGTTTTCAAAGCTCTTAGGAGAATTTCTCTCATCGGGCCATTTTGAGGGAGAAGGCAGAATGTCCTTTTTCAGATTTTTTTCCCCCTGCCTCACAGACTTAAGCCAAAAGAATTACAGACCCCGGGTGGGAAGCACAGCTCAGTGTCTGGGAAGACCACTGGCTCCGGGGCGCCCCAGCCATGAAGAGAGTCTGTGGGGAGATCAGAAGGTAGGCGTGCTCTGCAGGGAGGGAGCTCTGCAGCACGGAAGACCATTCACAATGTCATGGCACTTCCCTCTCACTTTTTCTCTCTTCCTTTTTTCTCTGACAAGGTCTAATGTAAGTCTTTTAACCTTGGGGCTGTGTAGGTCATCTGGAGACGAGCCCCCGGCAAGCTCCCCCTCCCGCAGCAGGACGACGTGCCGATAGTTTACCTGGGCAGCTTCCGAGGTGTCCAGAAGGCCGCTGGGCCCTCTGCCTCCACAGATGGGCACGCTCGCTGCCCCCCCGCCTATGCCATGGTGGGGCTGCACAGCCTAGAGGCCCGGGGGGAGCGGCCCACCGCCTTCCACCCCGTGAGTTTCTCCCCTGAGAAGGTGGGGCAAGAAGAGAAACCCATGCTTCCCTACCAAGAGCTGACCTCTGCTCAGGAGAGCTTCCGCCAGAAGGTGGCTGCCTTTGCTGGGATGACGTCTGGCTGTCACAAGGGCCCTGGGCCCTGCCCCTCCCCGCAGCCCCTGCGGGAGTCCCTGCCCTTGGAGGATGACAGCTATCAGAGGTGCTCACCTTCGGGGGACAGCGAAGGGGGAGAGTATTGCTCCATTCTGGACTGTTGCCCCGGGAGCCCCATTGCCACAGACACGTCACAGGCTGAGAGTTCTCGGTGCAGACCCGGCAGAGGGGACCGCTCCCCGCCGTGCTGGGAGCAGGGAGTATGTGCGGGGCCCCCCGAGGAGGAGAAGCGGGCTCTGGGCTTCCGGAGGGAGGGTTCCGAAGAGAACCCGCCCTGCCTGGCCCCCAAGAAGCTCTCCCTGACCTCCGAGGCTGCCAGCTCTTCTGACGGCCTCTCCTGCGGGAGCACCAGCAGCGGGGCCAGCAGCCCCTTCGCACCTCATCTGGACAGTGACTACTGCTCCCTCACGAAGGAGCCTGTGCCAGGGAAGCCGCAGGACTCAGGCTGCCACTTGGCAACCTCTAACAGAGGCCTTGGACTAACGGGGGAACCCCAGCCTCCAGCCCACCCCCGAGAGGCGGTACAGCCTGAACCCATCTATGCCGAGAGCACCAAGAGGAAGAAGGTGGTTCCAGCACCTTCCAAGCCACAGGCCGCAGTGGAACAGGCAGCAGCTGCTCGGGGCCAGGGCCAGGGCCAAGGCCAGGGCCAGGTACGGACAGCTAACACCTGGGCTCAGAAATCAGCATCTGGCTGGGGCCGGGACCGGGAAGGCCCAGACATGGCTCCCCAGGTGGCAGCCACCATCACAGTCATGGCAGCCCACCCAGAAGAGGACCACCGGACAATCTACCTGAGCAGCCCTGACTCCGCCGTGGGGGTACAGTGGCCACGCGGGCCCATGAGCCAGGACTCTGAGGCAGGGGAAGAGGAGGCTTCAGCTGGTCAGGGGACGAGCTCCAGGGAAGGTGCCCGTCCCGACGCCAGTGAGAACACGCCCAAGGGGAAGCCTGCCATTCCCCCCAAGCTGTCCAAGAGTAGCCCTGGAGGGTCCCCCGTGTCGCCGTCTACCTCCCCATTCTCAGACCTCAGCGAGGGGAGTTCCACAGGTGGTCCCGGGCCCCAGACTTCCTCCAGGGCCCCCACAGACTCTGCTGCTTCCTGCCGGGCCAACAGCATCGCCGCCACTGGTGACTCTGCCCGGTGCCACCCGCCTGTTGCCGCCGCCTCCACCTTGGACCAGAGGAGGCCCCGGTACCAGACGGGAGCCTGGAGCCGCCAGTGCCGGATAGAGGAAGAGGAGGAGGTAGAGCACGATCTGTTGAGTAAAAGCTGGGGCAGAGAGATGGAAAATGGCACCGCGGAGCCCTCAAGCTCCTCCACCTGGCACCGTCTGCGCCCCACGGACAGCTCCTCTGCGCAGAGCAGCAAAGTTGGGACTGGGATGAGCAAGTCAGCCTCTTTTGCCTTCGAGTTCCCCAAGGACAGAAGTGGGATTGAGGTATTCTCACCTCCGCCACCGCCTCCAAAGTCGAGGTGAGTACGATGGTCTCTGTGTCCCTCGGGGCCCTTCCAGAAACCTTTGCTCTTGTCCTAGACCGGAATCCCTCAGGCCCAAGCCCTGAGTCCTGCGCTCTGGGCACCAGCGTCAGCCCAAAGGCTCTTGTGCCTTTATATAAGCTTCTGAGTTGTTCATGTTTGTGCTCAGCAAACAGGCCTACCAGGAGGGCCCTGCCCGGTCTTTTTGAAATGACTCTTTCCAAGAAGCACTGCCAAGCTGGTCCTCCTCTCTCCCGGTGCTCAGAGCTGTGGAAACTGGTGCTGTTTTCCTCCCCATCTCTCTGAAGTCTCTCTAGCAGGCTTTTCTGGGGAAATGCCCCCCGATTCCCCATTTCTTTAGACATGCAAAAGAAGGCCAGGGGAGACTACAAGGCAGAATTTGGAGAGGTAAAGAGATGGGGAGGCCCATGGGCGCTGCCAAATGTGTTCCAGAAACAGTTAGGCCTTGGAGCCAAGAGCAGAATACTAGGAGGCTCTGCACGTGGTTAGTAACCTTCAGATGTGGGTTTTTACGGGGAGGAAAAAAAAAAGGAGTTCATTTGAGCACGCTGAAACTTACAGCTTTTCTACCGCTTCTCTGCAGTCTCCTGCCAGTTTAAAGTACCTTTCAAAGGCCTAAGAAAAAATAAGTGCCTTTTTAAAGATATTGAGTTGTGCATGGAATATAAATTCTGGGAAAACATAATTTCCCTCTTATTCCAGCAAAATGGATTTCTACCAGGGAAAGGAGAAAGCTTGCTGTGTTTTTGTTGTTGTTGTTGTTGTTGTTGTTATTCTTTTGTTTTTAAAAATGACAGCCTTTCCAAACAGGACTTTTCTAGTTGTGTCATTTCCAGTGATTCTGTTTCAGCCCATGTGCCTCTGGGCTGCTGTGGGAAGCAGGGAGCTGTCCACAGAGAGATGCAGCTGTGACACTTGACTTTGAACATCAAGGCATCTCAGGCTGTGATGTTCTCTAACATGGGCTTTTTCCGTGACCACTGCTTTGTTCTGCTATTGCACTGGCCACCTGCCATGCGGCGTAGACGTCCTCCAGGTCCTCAGGTGGTTGCAGACTCCTTTTGGCCACAGTTTTAACTTCCTGAGTGAATGAGGGAGCCAGCAGCTAAGAATAGCTCCCGTTTATATGGTGCTCACTATGGACCCGGCGTAGAGCTAAGAGAATTAGACCTATTAACGCATCTGATCCTCAGAAGAGCCCCAGGAGGTAGGAATTACCACCCCCAATTTATAGACGACAAGGCAGAGATAAAAGGAGCTGATGTCACCTGCCAAGTTTACACAGCTATCCCTGGACAGCTCTGCTCCTAACACATAGGGCACTTCAGCAGGTGTAGGAAGCGAACAAGGCATGAGAGGAAAACATGGGCATTGGATCTGTCTGCCTCAGGCCTCATTAGGTTAGTGGGATGCACGCGCTTTGAACTTGATCAGAAAATCAAGTTTAGACGGCATCTGTCTTATCTATGGGCTGAGTGATCTTGAGCAAGCCACTTGGGGGTGACTGAGCCTCCCTAAAATTGGATGGGAATAACAATGCTTTTATAACACCCTGTTGTTGAAAGACTCGAGTGTGATGAACAGACTCCAGTAGAGAGGTTAGTTACTATTATTATTACTTTTTTAAAGATTTATTTATTCATTTGTTAGAGAGAGAGAGCACAAGCAGGGAGAGCAGCAGGCAGAGGGAGAAGCAGACTCCCTGCTGAGCAAGGAGCCTGAAATGGGACTTGATCTCAGGACCCTGGGATCCTGACCTGAGCCAAAGGGAGACACTTAACCAACTGAGCCACCCAGGCATTCTGAGAGGTTAGTTATTATGTAGGCAAGAGCCACATAGGGCTACTGGTGGTGCAGAGACACCCATACCCTATGGGAACCTCCTGACCCACTCCTAGGCATATCACCTGAACACTACCTGGTTCCTTGGAGAAGAAACTAAACCTTTCTCATGGAAGAATTAAGGACTTGGCGAAACCCAGTCGCCACAGCAATGTGACTCAGGTAGGGTTTGTGTTAGCGGCTGGGTTGAGGTGAGAGTTTTTTGGCCCAGTTTGTTATGATAAAACCATTGGGTTATATACAGCTCAAACCTGGTGGGAATCTCAGAGGTTCTGGGTTCCAGCTCTTAAAAACAAAAACAAACAGACAAACAAAAAGCAAGCAAACCGAAAAAGTTCTTATTTTCACGACTTTTGGGGGAAAAAAATCTAGGAAATAAAAATAGCTTAAGGGAACCAAAACAAACAAACAAACAAAAATAGCTTAAGGGAACTTAGAAAAGAGCAAAGAGCGCCTGGTACTATTTAAAACAAACTCATATACATATATATTTTTTCATTTGGGGAAGATGTTTTAAGCTACTGACATCTCTTGAATCATCTCCCCTGTGAGGAGATAAGAGGGTGGGCTTGGGACCATAAGGTGACTTTTAATTCTGGAACTCAATACTTACTGAATCCCTCTGAGAAAGGTGCCAGAAACCCACAGTCTTTGAATCTAGCAGGTCAGGGTGAAGGCAGATCACCCTATTCTACGAGAATAGAGCCCACGGTGGATCCAGAACCAATACCAGTATTACACTGGTAACTACGGCAGGCTGATGTCAGTTTTCCAAGATGGAAAATGTTGGAAGGTCTGTGAATGACATTGAAGGTCAACTCAATTTCTTTGCATGGCCCATCTGTTAATGGGTCCTATTTCTAACAATCAGCCTCACCCGTGAACAAAAATAGCCGATCTCATATGACTCAACACTCTAGAGAAAGGGTTGTTTCATGTAAGACAGTGTTACTTTTCACTTACCTTCACTTAGATCCTTCTGCTTTCTTGGACTATTATGGAAGAATGAAGAATCATTTTATGGCTTGGAGTTCAAAAAAAAAGGGGGGGGAGGTTGACTTGGCTTTCCTGGGATCTTGTTTTGGATGTTTGGCAGTAGCTTTTCTGTTTGTCTGAGATGTTGTCCTCTGTAAGCTCCCATTAGGGTTCTGGAGAAGACTCTTGCCATAATGCCATATAGGCTAGAGGCTCTCAATGCCCATTTCATACCCTTTAGAGGTCTTTAAGTGCACCCAGTGTTCCTCCCAGCAGATGAGGCATGGTCTGGGTCCACCAAGGCGGCCACCTACAAGTTCTGGCTCACTGACTTGGACCAATGGACCTCACCGAGGGAAATAAGCATGGGCTTCTTAGTTTCAATGTCACGTTCAAGACTTAAAGCAGTTTCATGAGAGCGGCAGCACCTGGGGAAATAATTAAGATGTAGAAGAATCAAATTTATTTCTGCCCTTTATTTCTTCGCAGATGCAAACCTGGAAAATTTTAAAAGACTTATGGCTTTTGAGTGACAAGTTCAGTTGAGGGAGAATCCTCTGATTAGCACAGACAGAAATTTCATAGAGAAACCCCAAATTAGGATGAGAGGCCTGAACTCCGAGGAGGATTGAGAGCATGGCAGGTGAATAAGAACGAAGACAAGTTTATATGGTTTTAGTGGCCAAAGGTCTGGCCCCAGATAAGACTAACCAAAAGAAAAGAGTTTCCCCCAAGAAAGTGACAGACGTTTACTTTTGTCGTTGTCACTCATGCTCGTTGTGATTTTACCCCACTGCTTAACTACATTCTCCACCCTCTGCGGGGATTCTGGGGAGCAGAGACCTAGTCTATCTTTGGGCTTCTGCTCATTCTTGAATCCCTGCTCTCCCTCCCATATCACTGCTCCCCAGACAAGTGGTGACAGTGTCACAGATGAAGCACTTTTCTGTCCCCAGAAGTGGCCACTGGGCCATTGGAATAAAAATCAAAATGACTTCATTGTGTGGTCTCTTAGTAAAATGGTCTCTCAGCATGAGCCCCAAGGATGGAAATGGAATGATGGAAATCGGTATTTATCTCCAGACTCCATATCCAATCTGAGTTAAGCTCCAGATGCTTTATTCCTGAGGCATTTTCTGCTACAGTGGATTACTGTAGAACGGCAACAATTTACTAGGAAATCCCATAGTCTTGATGTAAAAGTAATGGGCTTTTCTGTGTGGCATTTTAGGAATCACAGTTTGTATTAGAAAGCACTATGTGTGCTCTGAGAATCTTCTCTGGCTGTGTTTAGCCTTTTCGACAAAGCTGAAATAAGTTAGCTGGAGGTCGAATCGATCCAGGGAAGAATGAATACTGGGGATAGTTCAGGGAGAGAGACTGTTCCCGCGTATACACTCAGAGTTTGGCAAACAGAACAAAGCACACCAGCAAGGCACGTTTGTATTCTGCTTCCTGCCAGGGGCAAATTAATAGTTGGCTTTTTCCCCGGAGTTTATGGATAGAAACTGAAAACACTGGACATCTAATGATGCTGTCTGGACCAGGGAGGATGAAAATTGATTCCTTTATTTCTATTCTGAAATTTAGAAAAATCACCAGGTTGAGCAGTAGTCTATATCAAGAATTTTGAGATTTCTCTCCATTATGGAGCACACATCCAAGGCTAAGTCTAGGTAGGGATTAGATTCTTTCTGTAATTCATCAGGTGTCTACTTCCTGTTATGTTCTGTGTAAGGTGCTAAAACACCAGTGATTGGATTCTGGCCCTCACGCCCCAAGGGTTGAGTGGGTATAAATTAAATCAGCGGTGTGTTGCCTGACCACCATGGGCTCTGCCCATGTTGTTTTGGTTCCTTTTGATGAGATTCATTATCACAGCAACTGGAGTCTCAGCACATCCTCGTTCTATTGGGTAACACAGAGGTAAGTGCAGCTCGGTGTCCCAGAGGAGCGAAAGAATAGTCCTTTCTTTCAGTGCCTTTTGACCCCATTCAAGATCAAGGTTAGTACTGGTTTATAGATAACCATTTATTTTTTAAAAGGCAAGATGGGGTGGGAAGGCAGATGCTCCTTGAAGGTCAAGTGCATGCTTAGCCATCTGTAAAAACACAGTAACCTGTTTGGTGCCTGGTACATAATAGATGCTCAAGAAATAC